TAAGCTCTTTCCGTACCAGATAGTTACTTTTTCTACTTTTGCATTAAATATCAATTGATAACCGAAAACATAGAATAGTGTGTTGGTCAATAGCTATTCCACTTACAATAAATGCATAATGATCATATCTATTATCAAACAACTTAAATATCTACAATTCCTATGAAAGTCAGTGAAAATATAATTAACAAAAAAAACCTCAAATAAAACTAAAATGGAAATGTAACATCTATACAATTATACAATAACAATTAACAAACCTCATTAAGGATCTAAAGTAAGAAATCCCCATCAAGTTCTGTGAATTAATACAAAAGTTATAGTGATTTTCCTATATAGTATAATTATCTACTATAAGAAAAATAGTCAATTTAAAAATAACTCTAATTTAGCCTCTCCAACAAGAAACTGCTTATTGTTAACTAATTTCATATTATTATGTTCATTAACAGTAATATACGACTGACTTAAATAAGAAGACCCTACCAATTTTCATCAAAAAATAAAAAAGATATGGCCATTTCCCTATGATATATAAATCTAATAAAGAATCTGCATTATTACTCATCATGGCGATTTACAGTACAAGGGAAGTAACTTAGAAATGGACCTGATACTGATTTTTCAATAGAGAAACTACATGTAAATTTACTTAAGAAACAGATCTATAAACATAAGATGTTACCAATTAAACCTATTTTGAGTATAAATTAGTAAATCTCTACAAAAATAACATAATACTTTTAATAATATGGAACAAGAGCTGTCACAGTAGACAGCGAAGCTCGACTTATTAAATACTGGACGCAGTAAGGAAGACAGCTATGAAAGAAAAATCAAATATGATATTAATATATTTCTTCTTATGACAAGAAGTTATTATTGTTAACATAAATTCCAAGTTCAAGGGGGAAAATTCTGGAAATAGTCACACTAGAGTTATGGACGTTGTCACACAACATGTGTGTAATGATTTGAAGTTTGAAGTAAATACCTTAAAAAGTAAAGAAGTAATAATATTTCTTAATGAAGTTTCTAAGTTCAAAGGGAGATAATCTGAAAATATTGATTCAAGAGTTATGAACCTTGTCACTAAAGATGATTAGATCTGGAAGAAATATGTATCTAAAGTTTAAGGTAGATACCTTTACAACTAAAGAAGTTTTATATAGTAAAAATAACATTTTTCAAGTAAAAAATCTAAGTTAACAGGGAGATAATTCTTGCAATACTGGAACTAGGGTTATGAACATTGACACATAAGATGTAGTTAATGATAAGGAACATATATTTGAAGTTCATCCCTTAAGAAATAAAGAAGTAACAGTAAAAATAATATATTTTAAGGAGAATTCTAAGTTCAAGGGAGATAAATCTAAAAATAGTGGTGCTAGAGTTATGAACATTGTCGCATAAGATGTGGTTGATGGTAAGGAACATATATTTGAAGTATGAAGTTGATCCCTTAAGAAATAAATAAGTTACAGTAAAAAATAATATTTTTAAGGAAACTTCTGGTTTCCTATGTTCAAGGGGAGATCAATCTTTAAATATTGGTGCTAGAGTCATGAACTGTGTCGCATAAGATGTGGTTGATGCTAGGAAACATATATTTGAAGTATGAAGTTGATCCCTTAAGAAATAAAGAAGTTACAGTAAAAAATAATATCTTTTAACGAAAATTCTATGTTGAAGGGGAAATAAATCTAAAAATATTGGTTCTAGAGTTATGACCTTTGTCGCATAGGATGTGGTTGATGGTAAGAAACATATAATAAAAGCATGAGGTTGATCTCTAAAGAAACAAGAATTTGTAACAGAGTTTCCAACGTCCCCCGTCTCGGGGAATTTTTATATAAAGCATAAAATTATGCTATTTCAAAAGATTGATGTATCGATCTTAGTCCAATCTTATGATCAATGCTAAATCTGCAAACAAAAATAAATGTTTTAAAGAAACAAAATGAAAAACGGAATTTAAAAATTTATCATGTTAACTTTGATCTCTAAGTGTGACATTGACCTTGGAGGTAGGGGTGCAGGTGTTATGCATGACATATTGTCTTATTATTGTAACTATTTGTGCCAAGTATTTTCAATATCCCTTGAACTATGAAGAAGTTATAGATAGGACACAAATATACCCTATAACAGACTATGTAAATCTTTGACTCTATTAAAGTGTGACCTTGACCTCGGAGGTAGGGGTGCAGGTGTTGTACTTGACATATCTTCTTCTTATTGTGATTTTTTGTGTCTAGTTATTTTAAAAACCCGAATTAGTTCTTGATCAGACACAAAATATACCCTTAAACAGACTATGTTAATTTTTGACCTCTAAGTGTGACCTTGAACTTGGAGGTAGGGATGCAGGTGTTGTGCATGACACATTGTCTTATTATAGTGACTATTTGTGGCAAGTATTTACAAAATCTTTCGATCTATGAAAAAGATATGGACCGGACACAAAATATAACCTATAACAGACTATGTTAATCTTTGACTTCCAAGTGTGACCCTGACCTTGGAAGTAGGTGACCGGTTGTTGCACATGACACACCGTCTTGTTATTGTGAACAATTGTGGCAAGTATTTACAAAATCCCTTTAAAGATAAGAAAGTTATGGACCGGACACAACATATACCCTCAAATAGACAATGTTGACCTTGAGTGAGCAAGTGGGACCTTGACCTTGGAGGTAGGGGTCTGGTTGTTGTGCATGACACATCGTTTATTATAACAAATATTTGTGCCAAGTTATTTCAGATTCCTTTGATAAATGACAAAATTATGGACAGGACAAGCAAGTGTGACGGACGGACAGACGGATGTACGTTCTTACCAGAGCTATATTATGGGGTTTTCTTTTGATATTTCTTTTGTTCTTTTTAACCCCCAATGCAGAAAATAACCCAACTAGAGAAACGGAATGAATGACATTAAAAACATATATTGTTATGAGAACAATAGACTAAACCCCATAATGTAGCTCTGGTTTGTACGGACAGACAGACGGGCATGCCAATTTAATGGACTAAAGGGCCATTTCTTTTGTTATTTTCTTTTGTTTAATAGAGGACCATGGCTCCTTATTCTATTGTTAAGGAATGAACTCTATTGTTCTCTTCTGTTCTGTTTACTGTTAGATGGCCCCTAACCTATTTGGTTGCTCGGACGGACAAACAGACGGACGGAAAAACAGACAGACGGACGGAGCCTATTTCTATAGCCCGCTTTTTTCTTCGAAAAGGCGCGGGACAATAAAAAAGTTACAGCAAAACTTTAAAAAATTATATTTTTTAAGGAAAATTCAAAGTACAAGGGGAGATAAAATATTGCTGCTAGAGTTATGAACCTTGTCACATAAGATGTGGTTAATGATAAGGAACACATATTAGAAGTCTGAAGTTGATACCTTAAGAGATGAAAAAGTTATAATGCAAAATATTTTACTGCACCAAAACTTTAATCTGAAATCTGGACTCGCCGATGCCGACGCCGGGGCGAGTAGGACAGCTGAGACTCCATATACTTCGTATAGTCGAGCTAAAAAAAGTTGTATAACCAATAAAGGAATATTACTACAAATAGCATGAGTTGTCTTCTCTCCTATTAATATTTGTGATTTGGTGATACCATGTTATGACCTTACTTAATGTAGATACATATGATCATATGGAAAGTTCTATGATAGCTTTGCAATGTAAATAAATTAATAAAATGTCCTTTAACCACTTAATTAAAGGACTTTTCATTTCTCAAACATCAATTATAACATGTTAGAGGGGGAATTTATCAAAAACCACCCAGGACAGGGCCAATTTTGACCCAAGAGCTTTAATTTGAACAAACTTGGTAGACACCAACTAGGAGATATTTCATGCTTAAAATCTAAGCTGACATAAGCTTTAATTGCGTAAAGAAGATTTTTGTTTCTATATACATATAAAGAAAATTACCCCCTGGGGCAGGACTAATTTTGACCCCAGGGCTTTTATTTCAACAAACTTGGTAGACAAGCACTAAAAGATGTTACATGCTTAATATCTAAGCTCTAGTTATTTGGGTTTTTTAAAAGGAAGTTTTTTAATTTTTACTATATACATATTAGGAAAAGCAATTATCCGGGATTCCCCGGGACAGGGCCAATTTAGACCAAAGGACTTTTTTGAACGAATTTTGTTAAATAACACTCACAAGAAAATATTTCATGCTGAATATCTAAGCTCTAGCTATTTGGGTTATTTAAGAGTTATGGGAATTGTCCAAATCATGTTAAATTATCACAGAAAAGAAACGTGTGAAGTTTCAATATATTCCCTTCAGTAGTTATGGAGATACGCAGCTTACATGCAAAAACTTAACCAAAAATTTCTAAGTCGAAAAAGCCCAGGCAATAATATACAAAAAGGCAAATCAGAGTTATGGGACTTGTGCCAGCCATGTAAGATAATCACAGAGATCAAGTGTGTGAAGTTTCAATCCATTCCCTACAGAAGTTCTGGAGATATCAACTTAACCACAGGGACCTCAACACTGATAAATGTGTGACTTAACATTTAATAAAGCTCGAGTAGTAGTCTGTAAATACTAAACATGATAGCTTTTTGGGTCATAATGGGCCTTTAACAGATCTATTTGTATTTCAGTTAATTGTTTAAAATTTGAATCCAATCTAAATTTTATTTTAAGGATAAATAACATAATTTCCTGGTGCAGATTAAGATATTATTTCATCTTAAAGTTCAGGCAGTGATTCCAGAAGGACAAAATTATACATGTACAGGGGCTAATTAGTCTGTGTAAGTTATACATATAAAGTACTGTATTTCTGAAGATTAAAAAACTATGAAGTTTAATATAAAGAAAAAAGATAGACTTTAAAACAATCAATTTATTGTTGATGCATTAAAATATAATAATCTGTAATCATTAAAATGTGCTCAGTTCAAAATATTAATATATAAAGAAAATAAAAATATATAAAAATATAACTTACTTTTTAAATAATGAAATATCAGTCCATCCTAAACACTTCCAGAAGATAATCCCAGTTGTCCAAATATGTGTGCACATTTAAAAGTAAGTATCTGATTCATAATAAAAAATAATGTCTATTTCACCTGTCACTTGTCTCATATTCTATTTATAAATTGTTTCTCCAAGTTCATTTAAGGTTACTCAGTACATTTTACTTCAAGTTTGTTGTTGTTTTGAACACAAACCTGTACTCTCCAGACTTCAAGGTGCCATCATAGGTGACCACAAAATTGTCTGATTGTTTTATAAATGTTTTAAACTTTTTAAATTCTGTTTCTGGTTTTATATCACAACCTTGCATATATACTGTCACTGTATGTGGTAGTTTGTTTATAACAGTAATGAGATCATGTAACACTGAACAAGACATTGTTATATAATACAACTCAACACTTTCAATATTGATCATTTGAGGTGACAGTGTTAATGATCTTTCACCTAGATTGATTCTATACAACCTAACTTCTTTTATATGATGTAACAATGGTAATGTTTGTACCATTGTTTCTATATCACTGGGAGATTCTAGATAACTACACCACAATGTTTGTAGTTTACTGGCTGCTGGTAGTTGATTGAGATAAGATGACACAACACCAGGTTTATATAATGTACCTACATTACATTCCTCTAACAACGATACATCCATGTTTAATTGTGACACAGGTATCGTGCCAAATCCTAAACATCTTAGTTGTGAATGTTGAGACAGGTCAAGGTTGAATCCCCTACATGAAGTATCATGATCACTACAGTATAATCCATACAATTTTATTTCTTTCATTGATTTTTTACTAGTGAGAAAATTTAACAATGTCTCCATTACCTGGTGGGTCATAGTGAAACCGTCTATACGTAAACGCTCCAGATGTTGTAATGTTACCAGTCGTCCATTTATCTCTGCAGACAGCGGGTAACATCTTACTACAAATTCATGATTTTCCCATTTATATGACTTCACAGTTAAACATTTTAAAGGTTTCAATAACAGGCTCATTATTTCCCCTTCTACAATTTCACCATGATAGCATAATTTCTCTATATGTGGAAGGTCAGAGAGTGTAAACAAATGGATAATTTCTTGTAGACTACAAATACCTTCATTTTCTATCATTATTGATTTTATGTTTTCTTTATTTTGTTGACACAGCTGTTGTAATTGGTTGAAGTAGTTTTCTTGTTTACAGTTTTCATTAATGATGAAATCTTGTAAACACAATTTGAGGTCTTTGTTTTCCTTTCCTTCTTTTGCACAAGAAATGTACATGTCTTGTATGTCTTCTAATGGTTTAATGTACATGTATTCATATGTCAAAGTTCTGTATTTGATTGTTATTTCATCATTGTTTATCACAGGCGTTAAATCACGTGATATTGCAGACATTAATTTAGGGTTCATGCCACTAATAAAGGCAAACACTTTTGACATGTCTAGAATATTTTGTAAACACTGGCACTCTTCATAAAGAATTCTCTGGACTTCACTTGTATTTTGAAAACTTATAAATATTGCTGAAAAGAATTCTTGCATTGTTTTATGTGAAAATGAGATTTTAGAACTTTCATTTATTAATGTTTTCACTTTACTTTCTGATAATATTCCTGATAGACAGCTTGATTTCAAATCTTCTTGGTTAAGATATTTTTCAGCAATATTTTCATCAAAAACTAATGTGTGCTCCTTTTTCTTACTGAACAATGCATAAAACGCTAGTTTCCCAATGGTCAACAGAAACGTGTAGTAACTACAGAAATGTTTATGTTTTCTGAAACATTCAGGGACGTAACTCGGAGGTGTTTTACACGATGAATGAAACTTCCCATGTAACTTTTCTGTTCTAGATAGAAGGAGCTGAATAATTCCTGTATATAACTCTACTGCTGAATTTCCTATTGGAATTTTTTCAACCCATAAACATATAAGATAAAGTAATAGGAGAGGGGTGGAATCCATATCCTCAAGGTCATGGTCACTGATTGCTTCTTCAAATCTGCACACTTCATTTTTCAGTTCTCTATCTTTTAAGGTCTTATTCAATGTTTTCATTGCGTTACACTTAAACTGCCTAGCACTGACTTCGTTTAATTTGACTAGCTCTACTGTTTTGTCTATTTGATTCAAGTCTGGCATTCCAAGCTTCCATGGCCGAGACGTTGTTAAGATTACACACTTTTCACGTGCATATCGATGTGGAATACTTTTAGGAAGTCTTGAACAATCGTTGTCAGGATGAACCCATTCATCTAGTCCATCTAATATCACAAGACTTTTTTTATCATGTAGAATGTCCTTTAAAAGACCTTCTGGCATTGATGATGAGCAAGGGAGATTTTGTATGAGTTGTTCTTCAATCATGCCGTCAACATCACATACTTTAGCTGAATCTCTCAATAGCACTAGAAATAAAAACTCAAAGCAAGATAACGCCTTCAACTCTTCTTCTTTAAAATGCTTATAATTTTCATCCTTTTGATGAGCTTGACACCACGTCAATGCGAGATATTTTGAAAATGCTGTTTTCCCAAATCCAGCGACAGCTGATAAGTATATTTCTTGTGAAATATTTCTACCCGACATAAACAGGTCCTGTAACGACTTGACTCTAGTTGTTTCTTTCCCCCCACCAGCCTGATAAGCCTGTATGTCAATTTCTGGCATAATGTAGAATCCGGCTAGAGGGGTAGGGACAGCATCTGTGAGTGGTGAAAGAGGAATTGTACTCTGATAGGTTTTGTACCATGTAATTAGTTCATTCTTCAGTTCTGAAATAGAAAAATATTACAATTTTTTTTATTTAGATAGAATCATGACGTTCATGTAGAACTGCAGTACTGTATAGCTACATTAAAACGGAAACAAAATAATGAAGAAATTAAATACAAAATCTTCTTTTAAGTTCTACCTCATATACATGTACTTACAACAGATAAATAGAACACTCGGTAGAAAATACAAATTTTTGAAACTGCAACTGTTCGTCTGCAAACTTTTAAATTTACAGTAGCAGACGAACACATCTTTCATTTAAAACCCCATAGTAGATATCTACCATACAAAATATTTTTAGAATACCTCTTTGTTGTAGCATCTCTCTTGGTTTGTTTTATCAATTCTATCTGAATCTTACAAATTCATGAAAATATAAATACGTTTTTTCTAGGCAGCCACCTGCTGTCAATGCTACAGTAAATATGAAAATGCAAGGAAGGAAATTTTGCACTGGCTGAACTGTAATAAACATCAATCTAAAAATAGACTGTCATCTGACAGTGAAGAAACAAGAAATATATTTTGAAAAGATACACTGCCGTGTTAAAAAAATGTTTCAAGGTCGTTTCTAGATTTTATACTGCACTGTGTACATTTTAATATAATTACAGATTTGAATAATTTTACCCCTCACTAGGCGTAGTGGGGAGGGACATTTAGTTTTGGCCTTATCTGTCGGTCCGTTACATATTTATTATATTTATTTGAAGTGTTATTCCCCTAATTTAATTCAAATTTCGCGTTACTAAAAACTATTTGACATATATTGCAGTATTGACTGAAAAAAATAGAAAATATAACATAATTGACGAACAGGATGTTTTTTTAAGCTTAGAATCAGTATCGACAATCTCCCGGAATCACCAGCGCTAGTCACATAATCAAATATTTTACATAATAGGCCTAGATATACATGTTTATTTAATCTTATCCATGAAATATGGTGCTATATCAGTCAAATATATTTCATATTTTTTAAGAATAAATATGAAATATAAATATGAAAGTGGGCGGAGTCAAAACTCATATTTATTTTAAGGGACTTCTTTCGCCATTTTGTTTGAAAAATCTGATAAATACAAAACAACTTTTTGTTGAATTTCGTTTTGAAAACTATCTAGAATGATGGAAAATGGTCTAACTAAGAAAATAAATCCGAACGTCAATATCTTTAATACAGGCGTTTAAAGGGTTGTTTACGTGACGTCACAATGTAGCGCCAAATATCGCGTGCAAAACAAGACGCATCTATATTACTGCGCGCTGTACAATTGCAGTTGCGTATCAAGCAAGAGTGTTCGTAACCTTATTTCTTTCATAATTAAATTAAATAAAAAGGTTATTTTTTCATTTTTCGTGAAATATGGTAAATATTTTCACTCAACATGATAAAATGCCACATATTTTCACTCGCCGTCCCGGCTCGTGAAAATATGTGGCATTTTATCATGTTTCGTGAAAATATATTCCATATTTCACTCAAACGAAAAAATATCCTCTTAATATTAAGATTATTGAATATAGCCCATATACAATATAAAAAAGTTTGTTTCAAGCGCCTGTGCCCGGAATATAGATCTACCCAAAGGTTTTTCACAGTCTATATATTCTTTATGCAGTGAGCAATACATAATATTATTACATACAGTGCATCCCCAATATTAATATAAGTTAATTCTGATCTGAGTATCATTATTTTCCTAAAATATTTCATTTCCTACAGAAATAGCTTTCATAAAATTGCAGGCGCTTGTAAACAAAACTTTCATTTTCAAAACAAGAAACACAAGTTATTCATTCCAAGTGTTTCCAAAATTGCTACCATTATTAATTACCATTTATGACCTATCTTTCATAAACCATATTGTAAATATATAGAGCAATCTCAGAGAAACTTACAATTTCTAGCAATTATAACAATTTGTCCCTCAGCAAAACTAAAATGCCCATTTCTATATATTACAAAGATATTGCAAAATTTAAAATGTTGCAAGCTCGGTTTGATTGAGCCTGTTCATGGACGGTACTGGAAAGTGCAAGTTACCGTCCACGCCCCCTAGCACCGGCTTAAGCAAAATTCAACATTTAAACATGAAATAGTAAAATTTTGAATTTAGAAACATCCGCAGATGTGTTCATACGGCGGTTATCATGGAACCTTCAATGTGACACTTCCGTGCCATTCCATGAAAAAGCGGCGTACGGTCCCCAAGTAATAAAAAGCGTGTGCCGTAAACGAGAAAACAATGGGCGGAACTAAATAAAATGGAATTTTGAAAGGGGATCAGAGGTTATGAAGCCTGCGTATCACAGATAAGACGTCAAAAGACAAATTTAAAAAGCAGGCAACATATTCTAAGGGTGATTCAACATTATTCAAGTAGGAATATTGGTACCACCCTACTAGAAAATGCCGAAAAGTTGAAACTAAAAATACCACAAGCACAACAATAATGTCGTGCTGAACGATCTTCAAGGATCGAAAATATAACATACCATCACATATCAAGACGACATTACCATATATCTTACTAACAGCACAATATATAAAATGGCAGTATTTATCTAACCACATAACAATAACTGAAAACCACAGACCATTTATCAAAATCACAGTACCATATATCAAAGTGTCACTTGGTGAGAAAAATGTGCAGCCTGACCGAGTCTCGAACCCAATACCCTCGGAAAATAGTTGAATTGTCTCGGACGTGTGTAACCAAGTGCTATTTTTAAGGTTTTTGCTATTTTTCAAGAAAGGTAACTCTGTCGGCCTTGTTTGATTTTAATCTTTACTTTGTGTGATTATGTCCCCTTGACCACATTTGCTATTTGCTCAACCATAACGTTTCCCTCCTAAAGTTAGGATCACTTGAGGCCATTCTTTGTGTTAAAGAAGTTATTGCATGGTCATTGTGACATGAAGATGTGTTGATTTTATATTATTAATAAGGATTTGGATTGAGGAATTGGTATTTGTATGTTTTATTCATTTGTTCTTAAAAGTTCTAATGTCAACTCAATGAAGACTTATAGTAATTAAATACAGTTGTGGATTTGATAACAGTTATTTTGATAAATTTGTATTGTTCTTGAGTGTTAGAATTCAAGATGGCAGCATATGTTCTTATCTTATAGTTATTCCTAGAAATCACTGTTTCTATTTGTATTGCACTGATGTTTGTAAATTACAGTTTACAGCATAATTAACAGCACAGTGAGACAGGTGTGAGTGACAGAGGTATATTTACAGAGTCTGATCCACAATTGGTATATTATATTTATATGTCATTGTTTATATATTTTTGGAGCTATATGTATATTTTTAAGTTGAGCATAATTGTATATTGTTTTTTAAGTAAATGATTAAGTGGTCACTAGATGCAGGTACAATATGATGTAATACATTTAAAGATGTATTTTATGTGTACATGATTTATTTACATGAGATAAAATGAATGGTCTATCCATATAGACTGATCTGTTGATTAAGTATATTTAAGGTACTGTAGTGTATACAAGTCATACAAATGTATAAAACTATATATTTCATGATAGTATGGGATGTTTGGTATTTATACTTTCAGGGCTTGGTAGATGTGATGTAACTGTGATGTAACAGGGATGTAACTGTGATTGATGCGATATGATGTTTATGTTGTACGATGTATGATATATGATGTTTGATGTGGAGAAGTACTTTGTAACCTGTAATAAATAGTGTCCACTACAAATTAAATTGAAGAACCAGTATTACCCTCAGTTTTGTTCTTTTATATATACAAGGCAAAAAGACATTGGGGTCACACGTGAATTTCTACATACGAAACCATTCGATACAAAACAATAGCAGATGATAACAGACGCCACGGAAACAAACGACAATTTACGCATGCGCGGATCCATATTAAGTATACGTTTGCCATGCCTAATTGCCAAAAAACACACGGCAACATGAACAAAATCGACTCGTGATAAAAACAGCATTAGCTATTAGAACGGCATTAACAGCTATCAATATCACATCACATCGCACCAACTATTAAAACCACAGCACCATCAATCAAAATGAAATTGCAATTTATCAAACTACAGCACCATATTAGTCAGTGCCACAACACCATTTATTAAAACTACATATGTACGTATTTGTTTGTTTGTTTGATTGATTGGGTTTTACGTCACACCGACACAGTATAGGTCATTTGGCGACGTTCAAGCTTTACTGGCGGATGAAGACCTCGGTTGCCCTTCCGTGCATTATTTCAGGCACGAACGGACACCTGAGTAGAAACACCGACGTTCCTTAAGCTAGCTGGATAGCTTCCTCACATGAAAAAATCCAAAGTCGCTGTCGGGATTCGAACAAACAGAGGTGAGGGGCAAGTGGTTTGAAGTCCTTAACCACTCGGCCACGGACGCCCCCTTAAAACTACATGACCATGTTTCAAAAGGACATCACTACGAGGATGTTTATATAGAAGGCAGGTATGGACTTTTTATTGTCATTTGTTTGAAGATAATATAAAAATAAAAATATGAGATATATACTGTATGACATAATCAAATCATTATAGAAAATAGTTAACTTATTTATAGGCATATTATGCCTTAGAAATCCATATTTCTTAAATTCTTTAGAAATGTAAAACATGTGTTTAACAATGTTTTGATAATGGGCCAACAGTATGTAAAGTCTATCTACCAAATAAATAGCACTGAACATGTAGTTCTTAGTCATAAAAGAAGAAAAATGTAAACAATGCAGTATATTGACTTCCATACAAAATTCTAATTCACTCTTATTGTACCACCTTCCAACATAAAAAAACAGCAAAAGATAATTTATGCATATGGCAAATGAGTATTTTTGGAAACTGTAAAAAGATGCCAAAAATAAAATTATTATTGAGAAATAAAAATGAAAGTCTTTCTGAGGCATAATGGGCCTTTAAGCCAACAGAACATGGCAAGGCGGTGGGTGTGGCCTAACATCGCAGTTATGGAGTCTCAGTAATTCAACAGGAGCACCGCAAGCATCGTGTTCATGCTCGTCTGTTACAAATCTGAAGTTAAAAGCGGCATAGCTAATAAAAAAACTTCTTTTCAGAATTATGCACATTGTCTAAAAACTGCACCTTGTCATGGTAGGTAAGTATTCGATGTTTCATGTCGATACTGTAAAATATTTTAACAATGGGCAACATTAAAGAGTCTGCACGACGATAACGACGACGGCGTCGCAGCAATCACGATAATTCGAACTTGTCTTCGACGAACACCCCTAAATTAGAAAGGCATAGCTAAATCCACACTAGCAATAGCTTTCACAGAAGCGGTGGATCCATCGCAACGGCGGTGGAGAATTCGTCGCAGAAGCGTTGGATAAAAATATGGCCGTTTGCTGTTTTCTAATTTTTACTTTATGTTTTAATGTTTTACTGGAAACACCTATTGCGACTGGAGCTTATATATGCACTCTTCCTACTTTAAACACGCACACGCGTCAATTTATTGTCATTAATGCAAACTCATATGTATATAAGAAAGATTCATTTGCATTCATATTAAATATCATTGATTTTGTTTGTCTACGAAAGCTTGCTTAGAGGTGACAGATTTCCTTTTTTTGTTCCCACGGCACAATTATCTCTTGGTAAGGAGATATTTTCTCTTGTTCCCCTGAGATATTGCCTAATGGCCAAAAGAAGAATACGTAATGGTGGCTAAGATATAACATGTCAAATTTTGATCTTTCTCTTAAGACAAAGATAATGTCTCCTGGTCACAGTGATGGGAACGTAGTGATATATCGTGTTGACGAGACACATGTCGAGGAAACGATAATGAGATAAATCCTGCGACATATACAAAGAGGTGCAAAATGTCATCTGTGTACCACCATAGATTACACAAGTCAAAATGTTAATATAACATTTATAACAACAACGCAAACATGTAAAGTCTTGAACATATATAACTTGATATGTCTTGTAACGCTTGAACTGTGCTCACTCTATGTCAAGGGAACATTCTTGTAGACGATAACAAACTTCCTAAACCGCCTGGCGCACAACCCTCAACATTTTCTTATTTCTTAAGTCAAACACATCAAAGGACTGATTCGTGATTTTTTTTGCGAACCGCAGTGTCGCTTGGGATAACACGACAAAGGGCCAAACAAAAATCGTTATCGCCTTGTCGTCTGGTCGCTAGCGAAACACGCCAAACAGCACATTATATCGCCACGTTATTTGTCGAATCGAAGACTTAGCTTATTGGCGCTTTGTTTCTCGTCGTATTACTGCTATACAGCCTTGTCGCTCAGTGCATATCTAATGACTGATTTGTAGCCATATTTTCTCTTGGCGCTTGCGCAGAACGACAACACGACAAGGCAAAAATGCGCTGTTTTGCGTTTTATGTCACATTGTTGCGTTCCTGTTGCACATAAACAGAGAATAATCAAAGGGCTGTAAGCTCTGTGGTATTTTCTGATCTTTGCAATCTAAATCATATTGACTATCGTTTTTTTTCCTGTATATGTTTATTTTAATATACAATAATTCATCTTACGCAGCGACTGCGTTTAGATTTTTTCTGTAACAGTTTGAGATTGATACATATGGAATTTTGCATGACTAGACTTGCATCAAAAAATCATTTTTCATTTTTTATGACAGCAACACTTTATCCTTGCATATCGTGGCTACTTCCTTAAAAAAATACTTAATAAAAAGTTGCCTCGACTAGGATTTGAACATTAGGTCTCTCACACACTAAACGAGCGCGCAACCTCTGCACCGTGGTGAAGTAATACATATGCAGCTTAAATAAAAACAAATACATTGTACTTCTAAATTGAGAATTTCCATTTCGCGTTTGTAATCCTTATTAATTTCGAGGTATTTTGTTCATGATAAATCTTCTCGCCAAAAAAGTCCGACATGTATATATTCCACTACTCGACAGTCAGTTTTATTTGTGTACTACGCTCTGGAGTATTCGACATAGATAAAAATAGCATTTTCATTGATAAAGCTTTACGGAAATAGCCGATTATTTTTCATTGGGAAAAAGATATTCATCGGCAAAAATTTGTGATTGTAACCTCATATTTCTATTGACTAATCTAAACTTTTAATGCACTGAAATTCGTTAAATGCCTACATTAAAGATTATTCTTTCTTTTAAATTGCTGGTTTATAAGCAGTTTTGAGTGAGAACTACTTTGCGTTGTTAGGTCTGTAAAGGCCTCAACAGACGGTAGGATTTAGTTGTACAGCACTAATTAGAGATAAGATGTACAATTTTCAAAGCTATACAACACTTGCATTCAGACGGTAATTCTACACTGTAAGAATCATCTGAGGTTTCCCCTAAAAAGGATCCCTTTACATTGATCCTTTACATACTTTTCTCACTAAATACTTTTTTCACCATGAGTAATGATTGAAACACCTCCATTTTTAAAAAAATATATATATATATTTTTTTTAATGTGAACCCTGACCGAGACTCAAATCTGGGACCCTCGGCTCGGAATACCGTACTGCGGCTCTACTGACTAAGCTATCGGGCCGCCTACAAACTACCTCACCTCCCCTAATCAGATAACAATTCAATACCGTGACATAATCATTTTCGTAATAATTTGGGATTCGAACATAACACAACTTTGGGTCTCCTGGAGAGTTTTTCAACATCATTTTACCCCATATTACTACTATGTTTACCTTTTAGCCCTAATTGCTCTGGAATTTCATTCATTACACCCATTATCAGGTGATAATTTGGTTATCTGTTACTTGTCATTGTGAGAGGTCTGTAAAAATCGGTACGACAAGATTTTCAAAATAGAACATGTCCTATCCCTTACATCTAGACTTAAGGTTTCCGAAATCAAGAACTAGTAGCCTTCACGCATTAAGATTTGCCTGAACATCTTAGTTTTATTTGGTGTTGTACTTCAAAATCCTACCGTCTGTTGAGGCCTTAAGGAAATTTTGTGTTAGACCGTGGATGTTAGCTTTGTATTGACTGATCTTGCGATCAGAAAATACAAAAACAGCTCAAGATAGACGGTAAATAAGTGATAATAATTTAATGTTGCAAAATATTGTGTATGTTACATGACATGTTAAATCATCATTATTGATATACTCGTGTTTTTAAGCAAAAATCTGTTAAACAGTTTTTATTCGACATTTATTTTCAATCAGTCATGTCAGCATTTATGTTGGTCATTTTCTAATCCAAATAATAATAATAATAATAATAATAATAATAATAATAATAATAATAATAATAATAATAATAATAATAATAATAATAACAACATTATTATTATTATTATTATTTATGATAATAAAATAATAATAATAACTAGAAATGTTTCCATAGGACACGGGTGCCCCACCGCGCCTCTGTTCTGTCAATCTTATGACTATAGGTAAAATATTTTTTTAAAAACTAAAAAAAAAATTACTTAGAAAAGGAAAAGAACTTTACAAATACTGAAAAAAATTCATAGGCAAACCCCAAGGTGCATAAGTACACATGCTGACCAACATTCTTGTAAACTTTCAGGCCTACAAATGAAATATGTTTTGAGCTATGCATGAACAAGTTGAAAATTGCAATTTTATACTACTGTAAGTCACGGGCAATAACTCTAACACAACTGAAAAAAAATCCACATGCAAAGTCCCAGGTTCATAGCTTCACAGTGATGTGAATCATTATTCCTGTTA